ATCCCTGGACTGGCAGGCTGACTCTTCTCGGGCCCTCCATCAGCTGGGGCTGCTCCGACCCAGCTCAATGTGCTGTGGTCCTGGGCACACCTGTAAACATGATTCCTGGGAGCAATAAATTTTGGCACAGTATGTGCCACAGTTTATTGCTTCACCTTAATAGCACATGTAGATGCACCCAGTGAGTGGAGTTACAGCATCATAAATAACCGCTGGGGAAAAAAAAGAAAAATGGAAGCAGCTTTTCTTCCAAAGGTAAGTTATGATAATAGATATTTGATTCATGGGTACTTAAAACTTCCAGAAGTTACTATGTGGAGATTCACTAGAAAGAATGGGCCTCATGAAGTCCACGATAGTAATACAAACAAAGTAGATATAAGGCAGAACCATCCTATCTTAGTAAGAATATTATGCTCACTTTAGAGTGATGTAAATTATTACAGAAGATGTAAGATATCAGAGGAACAGTCCCAATAAGGGCAACAGAAAAGCTGGCACAGGATGGAGTCTTCAAAATTTGAAAATTCTAAGCACTGAGAGAGAGTTAAGTGGGTTACATTTCCTGATAGACAAAAAAACTCACCTTAATAATAAAAGCCACCATAAAAATTAAATCATGAAAGTAACATCTAAAGCATACGGCTCTAGAGTACTCTTAGATCAAAGAATGTTTGCAGAGGGGCGGGTGCTTGCTATTAGAATAGGTCAAAGCAATAATGATTTGCAAAAGTATGCAAAGAACCCACTAGGGCTATTTAATACAGATCTCTTACCAAGCCTGGCTTAAAATGACACGGTAGCTGTAAAAATACCCAGAAGCAAAACAAAAGATAAAGTCACACCAGTACATGAATTGGTAAGGATACAATTCCAAGCCACCAAAGGCTGCAAATGGCGTAAGTATTCTTTTCCCACTCTCAACCTCGCCTTCAGAATTATAAGTGTTTCTTCATCCCATTTTGCTTTTATTTCCCAGCTTTTAAAACTTAAAACTCTCATACACATTTTCAAATTTAAAAACAAAATTAAATTTGAATCCTGAAGATAGCTTTCTCCCTTTTTCCACCCTGCAGCCACGTAACTGCAATTTTTGGCAATTATGCAAACTTTGGATTCTATTTCCATCTGCACAGCTACACTCATCCTGTGCTTCTCTTCTGAGCATGGGCTCCACTGTGGCTGTGTAGGCTCTGGGGCAGAAAAGAATCACCCGGGTATGCATGCAATGCTGTATAAGTCCGGTCACATGGCAGGCTCATGGGGAGTCACAGGGGGGTCACAATGTCCTCTCCCATGAGCCTGCCAGAGTAAATAATTGATCTTACTACAATACTTAAGGTTCTAGCCATACTATGCCAA